GGAGGAATCCCTCCCGATGAGCTGGACTTAAACCCCGGTTCATCGGGAGGGATCCTCCCGATGAGCTGGACTATGCGCCGTCAGGGTTCAAACAAAGTGAATCCCCTGTAGGACCCAGGCCTGGGTCCTACAGGGATCTTCAAGGCCATCGGCCAAGGTTTGAACCTTGGCCGATGGCCGTCAGGGTTCAAACCTTGAACCCATGTCGGTTCAAGGTTTGAACCGGTCAGACCGTCTCTCCATAGGACCCATCCCTGGGTCCTATGGGATATGCCTTGACCTAAACCCATATGAATATGGGTTTAGGTCGAGGCATATGGAATTGCTGGCTGCACGCCTGCCTGCAAGCGAGGCAACCTCGCTTAATGGCTGGCGTGCAGCATCGCACGCCAATTGAAATTGGCGTGCGGACCCGCACGCCAACCTGCTGGGGGAATGCCCGCGCAGAGGGTTGGAGTGCGGACCTGCACTCCAATTTCAATTGGAGTGCGGTCCCACACTCCCTTCAGAGAAGGGAGTGTTGGAGTGTGTGTGCGAAGGGGGGTGGAGTGTGATTATCACTCCCCGTACACTCGGAGTGGCGAGCCTTTTTGGACGGCAAGCGGAAGTTGTGGATGGTGGTATAGATATTTACAGTCTTGATGATATAAAGCCGGTGAGATCATACCACCCAAAAAATTCGCGGTATGACTCCAGTTCAATTTCTACATTCATAGTTACATATAAGCGCCGTTGATGGCCAGTCTGACTTGTATAAACTGTAAAGGGATGTATGATCTGATCTCAGAGGAAAGATACATGTATGTAGAGTATCACACGGTGCTATCCTATGGGATGTTCGATGTATATAAATGAGTCTGGGTGATTGATGGAATGGGTTGGTCAAGGTGGAGGAGTTAAAACAAGATGCCATTTTTGTTTGTTGAATCACTCGTTGTTGCCGGCGGTAATTTGACCTTTGGCGATGGCCAATTGGTATGCTAAGGTTTGCTCCTTTGGAAGAGGTGGTCCTGTGGGGAAACAAAAGGGCAGTCATACGTGAGTCATACATTGAGCCGCCATGCATGTGGGGAGAGATACTAACCTCTGCCGAGTTCGGCACGGCGGGCTACCCACAAGGCGTGAAAGTTGGGCATTTGTGAGCTGCCCAACTGCATGCATTCTGCCTCCCGCATGACCCCATCATACCAATGATGCATGTGCTTCAGGGCACGATCATCTGCCAGGACCTTTTCAAGGGGCGTCCTGGCGTCGTGGTTGGGTTCGAGTTTTGTGTTAATTTTATCCTTCATGGATGCAATTACCCCAGCCAACCATTGCTGCTGGGCAACGGTGAGATTCTTGGCGACGGGACGGCCTTGTGAGGGCGCAATTGTATGATCCATTGACGAGGGTGGTCAAATGTGAGGTAGGATATTGAGCAGGGAAATTTGCATGCGGACACTGCAACGATGGATGGGCGGAGGCTCATTTTATGTGGGGAGGCTCAACCGTGCAGCTGGTGGGCGAAAGAGGCCTCGTCGCATGAAAAGCGGCCGCCAGATGAAGCATCTTCAAACGTGCGTCCAGGAAAAACGAGGGGCAGGTCGCCCAATGTTTTTCTTTGACGCACGTTGTAAAGCATACGGAAATGTGTTTCGAAGGGGAGCAAGGGGCAGGTCACCCGATTGGGAGATTGCAGGGGAGTAAATCCACAATCAGTACGGGCACCGGAGTATAGGCGGTTGTTTGAGTTTTGACGCCCGGTGGGCTACTCTCATGACACTCAAAGGGGTAAAAATTCAACAGGCCATGAATGATACGTGGGGGACAGCAATAGGATCATACCAATGCTCAGAACTCGACTTGTCATCACCTACTGCCAAACTATGGTGCAGGGGGGGGGGGGGAATGTCGAGGAAGGGTTTGGACTGGCTGCCCGGAGAACAAACATGTGAGGCCTTGGCGATCGCGACACAGGGGGCAGAACTGATAAGGGATCTGTACCAACGGGCCCACATTTGTTTAACTCCAAAAAGCGGCTCTAACATCGGGGCGTGGGATTGATTAGCCCGCATGAGGAAAATTGACGTGCACCAAAACATAGGCCAAAAAAGGGAAAGTCCCACATGCGGTGGGCCACGTTGAAAAGAAATTGGCCGATTCCGGGGGGCAAGAGCATCATCCTGGTCGGTGCGGCCCGGGGTGGAAGGGTGCAGGAGGGCGCCTCGTTGACCAAAGGATGCCTTGCACTGAAAATGGAAGGGACGTGTAAAGATGTCAGAGTTGAGGAAGTATGGAGAAAAATGGAGAAAATTTTGGAAACAAGTGAAATAGGAAACGTAAAGTCAAAGTTGATGCAAACATGGGTTTCGTGTACCATCTTGCCGTGCTGTCCTAAGATTGCTCAGGTACGCTGATCACGAGGGCGTGGTTTGGTTGGATATGGACTTGGACGATCGTCCAAATGGAAAGTTCGAGTGTGGAGGATCGCCGAATACTGATACCCAGCTTGACTCAG